ATGTCCACACATATAATTAAATTTTGGGCAATCTGAAAAAAGTCTGAATTCTAACTACATTGATAATTCATACATGAATGCAAAGCAAGTGACAAGAGGATGCAATACCAAAACACTTCCTCAGTATCTAAAGGAGTATTTTCCTGTTGCTGTACTGTTCATTGCCAGCATTCTCTGTAGTACAAAACACAGTCTGTGTTGTGTTTTGAAATGTATTTCAATGTATTTCAGTATCTTAACACATCAAAAAATTAAACTGAACTTAACAAAATAACATAAGAAATGTAAGTAGGATTATTCCCTGTAAGAACTGTTAGTCTTACCAGAATATCCCATAAGAGGGGTATGGCTTCTGCAAACAGATCTACTGGAAGAGAGGGGTGTTTTTCCAATACATGTGCTATTCAGGCCTCGCACAGAGGAAGAAGTTGTGAGATTCAGTGTGTTAGCATTTTCTACACAAGAACTTTTGTCCCCAAAATATGATTCTGAGGAAGGGAGAAAGAAGTGAGTTACAAAAAAAGACACAAGTTTTTATTCAGAAAATAATATACAAATATACAGCTTACAAAACTTCATTTTTCTTAGTAGAAATATCACGGCAAAATGTCATTCTATAAAAGCTCTCCAGAGTACAAAATGAAATTAAAAAATCAGACTGTTTTGAAAACAAGCTTGCATTAATATGATTATTTTCTACAAGGGCATTACTTGCAAAGGCAATAAAAATCTAATAGTTTACATTGCTGGACTGAAATGATACAATAAAAGTTAAAAATTTCATATTCTAATGAATTCTAGATTTATGAAAGAATGCTATGTCAGCTCTATGTCGCATTTGCCTGTCAGCTTTAAAATCATTATCCAAAATCACACATTTATGAAAACATTTTTTTTTTAAAGCTGAGCATTCCTTTCAAAAAACAGAGCAATAAAAGAAAGCAAAGAATTGCTTAAGCATGATCTCCCTTTGAATCTATGGGGATCAACTCTCACAAATCACACAATAATCTGGGATATATTTTTTTAACAGTAGTTTCTTTTACACATGTATTTAAGATCTATCTACATTTTTAAGTCCTGCAAAATATCTTTGTCTCAGAACACTAAGTTTCTAAAAATTATTTAAATCATTTACTTGTTTTCAATTCTCAAGATGACTGAAAACATCATATCCTTAATCAAGTTTAGATAATTGCTTTTTAACATAAAAAAATGAATGAAAATATAAACAGCTGTTCCACTTAACACTTACAAAATTCCAGGTATTAAAAGACAGGTAAACTCAAATGTTTCTGTGCCTTACATTACATTAAAAACTGATAAGCAAGACAAAATATGTCAGTATTCTTCTCAGATGACCCTTTAACCACACGAGTCTTTATCATGGTCAGATGGCACAAAAATATTTATAGTACTGGGGTTTGTTTGGGGTTTTTTTGAGGGGCAAGGTGGGGTTTTTTGTTCATTTTTTTAATCTTAAACGGTAACAGTTGATAAAAATATTAGTTCAGACTGGTTGGGGGTTTTTTTTAGTGGACAAATCAGCATTGCAATGCATACGGATGATTTTTAAAAATAGTATTCACTTAAGACTTTGACATAAGTTCTCTCAGAATTTTGGCAGAAGAGACTTCACTCTCAGAAGGTCCTGAATCTCATATAACATGGGGAAAACTGTAATTTTAAGACCAGATGTACCAAGCCATACATATATATTTCTTAAAACCAACATTTAAGATATGCCCTATTGAAATTAGCATTCTAATTTGAGGATTTTAGGGTTTTTTTAGGATTCCTCAGTAATCATGTACATTATCCAAAAAACATTTTTTCCTACTTTCCAATTTATGTATAATGGAGATATATATACTATGGAATGCATTTCAGCAAATGTTAAAATAATTTTTTCTGCCTGCCAAGATACAGACTTTGATAGTAGTACCAAGTCCTGTGACAGCCCTACTGATGCACAAATCTTCCTTATGCGGTTGTTGAGGTGTCTCGTCCTCGGGGAGCAGCAGTCTGGTGTTAAAAGTAAAGTATGGCAAATACAAAATGTAGGACCATAACGTTCTTACCACACATCAAGGATGACAAGCACTTAAAACTACTTCAAAGGTCAGGAAAAAAAAAACAACAAAACAACACAAAACCAAAAACCACCAACAAAAACACCGAAACAACCAACAAACCAAACGCAAACCCAAAACCCACCAACTGAACGTGGTTCAAAGTCTCTCCTGTGAAGCAAATACTGTGTAGCAATTCAAACCAGTTTATTGATCCCTCCAGGGAACCCAGATACTACTATCCAAAGAAAGTAAGAGAGATTTATTTACAGAAGTGCTAACGAATTCCATCGTCCTGGCAGGCTAAATGAAAAAAAAGTCGCTAAGACGGTGGGTTGCTGCTGGCCCCTCTCAGTAAGCACCGCTTGTAACAGCTCTCGCGGAACCAGACCCAAGCACAGGGGGCAGGAGGATAAAGAAGGAGATCGAGCCCCGTGCACAGACCACACCGCACCTCCTCTATCGGAAACTGCCGCCTTGGCCCCGCTGCTCCCGGCGGCGGGCCCGGGAGCGAGGCCTCCCGCTGGAGTTGCCCGGCCGCGCCGCGCCGCCTGAGGAGCCGCCGGCGCTGTCCGAGCTGCGCGGCGTCTGCAGCAGCCCGGGTGTAGCGGGGGCGTCCGCTCCGCCCGCCCACCGCGCGCGGCGTGGAGGAGCCGCGGCTCAGGCAGGACGAGGGCCGACGCGGCCCCGGCCGCCCGCGCCCGCCATGGGCGACCCCTCAGCGCCGACCCGCCCCGCGCTCCGAATGGCGGCCGGGAGCCGCCGGGAGCGCCCCTGCTCGGAGCGGCGGCACCGCGACCCCGCCGCGTCGGGATGGGCGCCCGGCCGGGTCAAAGAAAGGAAGTTATCGAGGTGCAGCTATAAATGATACAGCAGTAAACAGAGCTGCTGTCCGTGCAGCGGGTTTCATTATAAATAGGCAAGGAGCAGAAGAACGCGAGGAAAGGGCCTGCTATGCTCTTTCCAGCAGGAGTACTGCATTTAAACATAATTCGTCCCGAATTAATTCTTCACCATTCAAACTGTTTCAGCGGGAGCTTCACAGATGTTTTCCCCCTGCTCAAGAGTTTTGGTACAAAAAGATCCCCATAATAACCACAAAGCTTGTTTACCTGTGCAATTGTCTTAAACATGTGCTTCTTTCTAGGCATGTTTCAGAACACTAACACTACTTTGTATACTAGCATGTAATGTACACCACTAAAACTGTTTCAATTAACATTTTCACTAGGCACTATTCTGTCTCTGGCATTTAATACACCCGCATTATAAAACACTCCAAACTGAAGCCAGCCACAACTCCTTGTGGACAAAAGCAGTTTGATGAGTATTCAGCTTCACAACAGCAACTCCATCAGGTGCAGCTCCTCAGTTGGCATCTGAAAGATATTGGCCCCCTCCTACCCGTTCAGAACAGGCATGCAGTCCCTCAGCACTGAGCATTGCCATCAGACAACTTTAAAAATTTCAAAATCAGAAAATCTCACTGCAGAGCAAAGTATGGAAGATAGCAGGTGGCAATTCCAGTTACTGTCACTGTCCTGAAGTCCTCCATTGAACCTTCCATATGCATTCTGACTCCTGCAGCTGGAGTTAGACATCCTCTTCTCTGACAGAAATCCAAATATATGGCAAGAAATGCAGAAACAAAAGGAAGGTCCATCTTTCACCTTTCCTTCCTTTTACATAGTCACAAATCATGAAGCTAAATTCACCTAACCAAGCTGTCTCAACAAAACCTAAAAGAAGCACATTTGGAATAAAGCATATACCTCTGGACTTGACCATGTAGAAGGTAACAGAATGGCTGTTGATTTCCCCACATGTAAACAGAGCTACTTTTTAATTAACATAGCTTTAGACACACAATTTTATGTACCTGAATTAGTCACTATTCTTTCACAAATTCTCATACAGAATCTTTCAAAATTTATTGCTGGGAATGTTGGCTACACTACAGTACCTAGGATTAAGATCTTTCCATATAAAGATTTCAATAAAAAAAAAAAGTTATGAAAGTACACTTTCCGAAAACCTTTAATAAAGGACCTGTAACTGAAGACTGAGAACAGTAGATTAATTACTGCGAAGTTTCTGAAAAAAATCTTAGCAGTATTTTTAACAAAATAGAGGTAGATGGTAACAATGCACCAAAATGACATAAGTCTTAACATAGACACAATCAGCAATTAATTTTTTTCACAGTACATTTAACGAAAAATGTGAGTTTGTTTGTGTAAGAGAAGTTGTGATGATTCTCTTTTTAGAAATACAATACCTAAAGAATTGATGTAAAAAATGGAAGAACCTTCCTAAGAAAAGAAGTGGCACTTGCAAAGGTAACCTGGAATGAAAAAAAACTTATTTAAAATTTTATGTTAACCTTTACAGTTAAGATAAAACCTGACTGGTGGTCTCATTCCCTTACAGTCAAAACTAAGCCTATTGTAACATTTTTCCAAATCTTGAAAAATAAATTAATTCCAGGCTTTGACCAAAGAATTCATCAAGCAACTGGGCAACCAAAAAGAGTAGAGATTTTACCTTAGCTAAAAGCCTGTAGAAAGGCTTTAAAAATTCATTAGAAATACCCGAGCATTTGAATTCACTTTCTGTCTTTGAAATTCACTAGAAGTAAAAGTCTATGAAAAAGTGACTCTGTCGAGTTCAGCTTTCTCTCTACTAATACAGACAGGCTGGATGAAACTAACCAGCTGGCTCTTAAAACTGTGTTGGAAACAACTTTAGGCCTTTGTTAAGCATAATTACAGAGATTATCAAACACTTCCTCCCCTTCAAAATTACCTTTTACTGTATATTGCAACTAGACTACCATTCAGTCTCAGCCAAGATTTGTGGAATGTAAATTAAGAGGCAATTTTAGGACTTCTGTGAAGACAAAGAGGACTTCATCCTTCAGCAAACAAATATTTTCCATGGCTAGTTTTATTTTCAATTACACCATAATCAAGTGTTGGTAATTATTGTTTTAAAAGCTACAAAAGCAGGATTTCAACCCAGCAACAAATTTAGAATCAACTCTATATTCAATCACAAGTCACTGTCCTGTACAGACCTTCTCTAGAATACTTAATGTTAGCAACTTTCACTCTGTATACTCAAGGTATGCTGTATGTCAAATATCAGTGGAATTTTGTCTAAGGGACTCATCAATAAATGAAGACATTTATATACTTAGAAGAACCATAATTATGGTTTTACTGGTATCAATTACTATCAGAAGAAGCAGCTTGTTTCTCAGTATAGAAAACTGATGGTAAGCATGAACAGGAAGAATTAAATACACAAGTGTGTGGCAGTAAGTGCATGGCTTAAGTAGGATTTTGTTGGTTGTGTTGTTTTTTTTTTCAATCTTCTTTTAAAGTGCTCTGTGTGATCCACCATCAAAAGAGGCCTGTGTAAAGACCAGTGTTAGCATGGCTGATATCACAGTAACACAAAAATTAGGCATTCACACAATCAAGCTTTGATTTGAATATTTAAAAAAAAAAAGCCAAGGCCCATACATTTAGATACAGATTGGAAATGTTTCTACATCTCTTATAATATAATCGAAGAACATGTTACACTTAGATTACGAGAACCGTCCTGTTCTGATACAATTTACAAAGTGACAAAGCCCACAGCAAAGCTATTGCTTTACTTCTATAATGTAAACACATCTCAAGGAAGAATATGCTGACAGTTTCACAGATGAGATTATAAATTAGTAAAACCAAAGCAACTGGTCATATCAACCTTTTGTCTCTACAAGGTTTAGCTCACAAGCTCAGGTTGTACATTTATTCTTCGAAGGACATCTTCTGGCATACAAAAGACAGGATTGACGGCCTTAATTTGTTCTTCTCCTAATAAAGATAGTCCAGCAATTCCAAATAAGGTGTGAAATGGATCCACCTGGGAGAAAAAAGAAAATTTACGTCCATTTCCAAAGTCAACCACTTTTTCACTTGTACAGAATGAAGCTTTTGTTTGCAAGAGAACTGCAAATCTCCATGGCTGGGGAAGACAACACAACCGAACAAACATTGTGCTAACATGTGTGACAGGTGAGACAATTTCCATAGTGTGCATTTAAAATACTATGATTTACTCAGAGATGTTGTCAATTATCTGCTGCTAAGATGATTTTCAACTCTGAGTTAGACAGAAAACATTCACATATGTCCACTGGCATGCAATATCACAGGGTGGCAGAAGCAAAGATAATTAGAATTTTAAAAGTAAATTTGATCATCTACAAGTACTGCTTCCATAAATCCCCCGTTTGTTCTTCAGGAACATCATAATGCTCTTTAATCATCTCCAAATACAGAGCTGTGCTATAAAATCTTGAGAGGGAAGCAGCAACCTACTTTGCTTGAAAACCTCCCCAAACTATAAATAAAACAAAAACTCCCCAAACTTGCACTCCCAAAACTACAAGACGCCCCCCCCCCGAACTGCCAAACTAACAAACAACCTAAACACAAAAGCCCCCAAAACAGGGTCTGTTAGGAGTGAGTGTCTGCAGTAATAAATCAACATTTCCATGGGAGTGCCAATTTCAGCAATAGAGGACAGGTAAAAATAATATGAAATGACTGCTAATATAGCATGCCAAAACCTCTCCCAAAGGTGCTCGCATTAGATATAGGTAAAAGGTTCTGCAAAGTTGCTCTTCCAGGAAGTCACAAATATTTCAGTAGCTCAAGTTTAATCTCCAAGCCAGAAAAATATTTAGATTTTAAGTGTTGGACTTTTCTTTGAGAATTCTGAAAAGGGAAAATGTCCTTCTGTGAGCTCCTTAGAAATACAAAATCCTTTCCATTTTAAGAACACAAAAACTCTTTCCAAATGACAGACTAAAGAGATTTCTCCCCCAAGTGGGAATAAAGTATCAGCTTGCAAGGAAAAATAAAGCACCTTATTTTTTAATGCATTTGTGGAGAATGGAGCAGACATGGACAGCTGCAATAAAAACAGCTAAGGCTTCCCCAGACCGTTAATAAATAAGCAGCCAAGTGCTCTATAGGAATTGCAATGAGGTCTCATAATACTTATTACTTTATCTGTTCAGCGCCCTTGAAAGATAGGAACCTTATGTGCCAGTTTACCTGGACAATCTCAATTACTTCCACTTGAAACCAGAAAGAACAGACTAGCTAAATCATAATTGCCTCTCAACCAAGCAGAAAATCTATACCACCAGCCTCTTCATACTGCTATCACAAAAGCTTCTTCCTCCCTCACCTGGCCAAATGCCAGTGAAAGAATTTATTCAGTGGCTGGGTTGGCACAGAACAAAAGTTAGCATACAGAGATTTTTGATAAAAACTTATGACTCATTTAGATCAGATAAAACCACCATTCTTTAGTTTGCATATCATTTCACAAAACAAAATAATAAACACAAAAACCCCACACATCCCAAAAAACCCACCACCAAACATTGTTTTTACATAGATCTTCCAAGTGGTCTTGTGAGAAATTATTTGTATTTCATGTGTTATGAGAACCAAACCAGAAATTGTAGAAAATGGCAACTGACTTTAGAGGGGGATACAAGTGCAATATAGAATATCTGCTCCCCAAGTATGCCTTCAAAGGCAATTCTAACCCATTCTTTCTTCAAAGTAATTGTAATGTCTGGAAAACCTACCTGGATCAGGAGTTGAGTTACACACAAACAAGAAACTTTACTTTACCCTTTGAAACTTTCAATTATGTATATTTCATTTAGAAAAATATTATTTACCATATCTCCTGGTCTGTCAGCAAATCCACCAGTCTCCTCATCCTGGCAAGCCAAAATAAAGCAGCGCAGTTTCTCTCCATCAATCCAATGTATCCTACCAATCATCTTCAAAGATGCTAGCACCCACCACGAATAACACACATCAGGTAACTGGCAAGCAGAGAAGCAGATTAATATTTTATTTTGTTTTAAACATAACCTTGCAAATTTTACTGGTAATTCTGCAAATTACCAGGTGTGCTGTCATAATGCTGTTGCAGAGAAACAACACTTAAGAGTATCTTTGGAGTAAAAGAGAGTTTCTGGATGCAGTCTCTTTTCAGAGGACTTCCCTTTTCAGGAAGGGAAAGTCTCTTTTTCAAGCCTCTTCCCTTCTTCAAGAAACAAGACCACAAGAATGTGATTTTTAAGCAGACTACACCTGTGATAGAGGCTAAAAAACCCCACAGAGAGTTTTTCAGGAGCAAATACAAAGAACTTAATATCAACTAGCTGCATTTTGGGGGGGGGGAGAGAATCTGACCCAGTTTAACAGGATAATGGTTCAAGTGGTCAGTAAGACATACTTCAGTATGTGTACTTCCCTACCCTGAGGACTCAAAATAGCATAGCTAAGGACTCCATGACAAGTGTTAGTGACAAAATGAAGAATCAAAACAAAGGCCTGTGACTTATATGAAGTATTTAGTAAGCTTTTCAAAGAAGTCATGACATTTTCCAGAAGTACTTCAGCTTTAGAAAAACAATCTCTACTGAAGTTTGAACAAAGAAAAGAAGCCACCCAATACCTTCTCTGGTCGCCCGTTGAGACCTCCAGAAGGTAACTGACGTTCACAAAGCCACCAACCCAGCAGGTCAACATTCACTTGATGCAACTGGTCTGTTATAGCCAGAAATCCTGTGCAACAATAGATCTAAAATTACAGACATAAATTTTTTGTGTATGTAAAACCTAAGTATAGTTTAGCAGACTAAATGAAGAGACAGCAGCAATACTGTCACATAAACAATGCAAAATAAGCATGCAAACATTTCAACTTTTAGTTTTCCACTAGAAAAGTATGTTATTGTCAGAGTTGCTTACAGTTGCTTTATTGAGGTTGTCTTCCTTGGGAGATTCCTTAATTTGTTCCAATTATACTACTGCATTCTCTTCTCAAGTAGATTTTACTCAGCATTTTTCAGAATCCACTGTCACTTGTAAAAGTGCGTCACACTAGCAACTCTAGTTGATAAGTTTTCCCATTATTGAGTTAGGTATCTCATCTTAAAACTGACTTTCCTCAAAAAATTAAGCAAGGCTTGACGTCTCATTTTCATTTGGGTTCATGAGCTGATAAATATCAAACATATATTATACAATTGACCTTTATGTCTCATTCTAATTTGTGTCAGACACAGTGATAAATTTTGTCCACTGTCTCTACTGAAACCCACCTCAAATTCTCTAAAAATCCTCATGCTGACTATTTCAACATCTCTGCATAAAGACTGAAATACAGTCCTAAAAGTTTTTCCTTTACAGTCTTTTTTGTACCCAGACTATAACGTCTGGTGTCTTGACTCATCAGAATAAGGCATTTGGGAAACAAGAAAGGTACATCAATTGCCATCACCGATAGATGTTGTAAAGAAACATTTATAGGCAGTGTGTGATGCTTGCTAATTTAAAACATTTCCATATAAAGAAAAACTCACCTGTCCTGCATGTGATTCGGAACCTGGTCTACAACCAAATCCTCCATCAAAGTTCATACAGGACAAAACGAATTCTACTGCTTTCCCCACATCAATAGCATCCAGCTTTCCCTGCAAGTCAGAAAATAACTAATGCACTTGATATTCTACCAAACTCATTACCTACACAAACTTCAGCAGTACCAAAGAGAAGACTCTGTACTTGTGTAAGTGATGGTTTAGGACTTACCAGAAGTGCAAGAGTTGCTGCAGCACAGAAGGAGAACCTTGTATCTATTTCTCCTACAATGTGGGAGGTAGGAAATAAGATTATTTTTTAAACAAAAAGACATTTAAATCACCACTGAAAATATGGAACTAAATGTTAAAATACTAAGTTCTACACTGAACAACAAAATCAGCTAAAAACTTCCCTCATACCATTTCAGTTTCCAGCTCATTAATTATTTCCTCAGTAATTTAAAAAATGTACATGGCAATTCAAGTGACCTGTATGTTTACTGCACATAAAGTCAACAACTCATTTAGAACTGGACAGATATAAATCCAAATCAATTCAACTAGTGGTAATTTACAAATAACTCTAGCATTTTACAGTTTATCTGTAGTGCTCTACAAGATAATTGCAGAGCAGTGGAAATAATGCAATAATAATCAGACACAATTCTTGCTGTGCCTTAAATCCAGACAGAAGTAGAAGCCAATTCTGGTTTTAGAGCAAAATTGATTAAAGTTGCAAGTGTTCTTTTGCATATTTATACCTGGAAGCAAAACCAAAGCCACTGCACCCATAACAGAATGATTGCTCAGCAAGTCTATACCAATATAATCCTCCGAGCACAAAGTCTGAGCAATTAACACTTGGAGTCACAATTTAAAATTGAACTGCGCTGCAAACATTCATTTTTTTGATCTAACCTATGCAAGACTTTTCTTCTTAAGAAATCCACAATCTGAAACACATAAAGCAAATGTGGTGCTGTGTCCTACATCAGGGATCACACTCCTTCAGTTGCACTGTAACTGCCTTTCAGAAGTAATGTCAGTCCATTGTGCATTCAGTACACTCCTGACAATACCTCAACAAAAAGGATTCAGCGAACTATGAACCAATTTAACACACAGTATATCATCTACTTTTACAGTAGCATACATATACTGCTAATATCTCCCTTGGTGAATTTTACCAGAACAAGAACATGAGGGATATGCAATAGATTTTATGAAAATTTAAGTCTTCCATGGGGATAAGTATTTTTAGAGTGACTAAGTACTTATGCTAGAGCTTAAAATTGCAACGTTTGTGCATAAAGAATTTATATGCAGAAACAAAATCAGTACTAACAGAAGTTCATGAGTACAAACCCAGTTCTTCTCACTCCCATGTACTGAAAGATCCTTTCACAGCTGACATGGATAAAGATCATTGCTGTCTGCCATTAAACAGCAAATATAAAACATTTCTTATGGAAGAGTGTATCCAGTATCTTGAAGTACTGTTAAGTTAAAAATGCCCAAAAGTTTTCTTCTTTAAGAATGGGACAATTTACTCCTAATACAAGAATGGAACTAAAGTTTAGAATATTTATGAAAGGAATGAAACACAATTCTGCTCTTCACAAACCCTTCTTTTTCATAACTTGGAGAATAAAAGTGTTCATATACAATACATATGCAAAAAGACTATCCAAAGAAACTTAAGTTTACAGACTTACATGACAGCTTAGTCACTATATTTTAAAGATTTAAATATTACCCCATTCGTCTCCAGCAAACGATCCATCTTCTTTTTGCAAGCTCTGTATATATTCAACAATTTTATTTACATCAACAACATGGAGACTATCATATAAGATAAGAATCTAGGGGAAAAATAAGACAAAGTAATAAGAATCTGGAGGGAAAAAAAAAAGACACAGTGACAATCAAAGAGAGGCAAAAACTTTATTTCTTAACAAAAAAACCTCCCCTGGATTTATAAAAGACTTTATTTACTTGACTGTGAATACTATTTGGTAAGGTTAATTAAAATAAACTTTCTTTCACTTTAGTAGTTAATTGCTGTATTTAGCTTATCTATCTCTGTCTAAAAACTGAGAAATTCTCAAATGAAAATACAGGTAATGTACCCTAAAAAGTAAATCTGAACAAATTCCTATAAACTATGATCACAAGAAGACATGTGATCCTTTAGACATCCTAGATATGCAGACAGGGCTAACAGCATTTGTTACACTGTTAAAAAACTGGTAAAAGTATACAGTAATCATTAAATAATTGTTAAAAGTAAAACATTTCTGAATATAAGAAATTTTAGGAAGTGATACAGCTAAATCCTAAAGCTGTGTTCATTAGATTTTTTTTTTTTAATAAGGCACTGAAGTAATTTTTGCCCTTGGTTTCCAACAGCAACTGGTTCATAAATCTGCAATCACTAAAATCATCAATCACAAACACTTTTTTCTAAAATTACCTTGCTACACTTACCTGGACAGCACTGAGGGTATACAGAAGATGAGGATCATGACCTATGCTGGCACTTATTCCCCCACATTCATGTTGACATGATTTGATGAATGTCAGAATTTCCTCTTTGTTCATTCGGTGCAGCTGCCCCATGAGATCCATTGCTGTCAGCCCCCAGTAGACACCACTCATTCTCAAATACTCCGACATACAGTATTCCTAAGTAGTGCATTACTTTAGTTCTTGATCAGATCACCATCCATACAGAGCAATGAAAATAGACTGGCTAACATTTACAAATAGTTTCTAGTAACTCAACCATCTTCCATCCATTTACCAACAGACTATGTGTCAGTCACTCACAGACATTCTGTGCATCCTGCACATGTGTATATGCACACACACAGAGGCACGTGCACACGTACAGATCTACACATCTACACATACTACACTCCCTTCCTCCACTGTATTTATCTAGTTCAAAGCATCAAGCTCTACGTCAAATTGAGCACATACGAGTAGCTGGGCACCAATTCACTTCAGATCATCACTTATTATCTTGGCATTCAAACTACCCCTCAAATTGCCACCCCAACTAGTCTCAAAACATAACAAGTCTAACATTTAATGAAATTTATTTCCAAGTCAAAACTCTCACAATCTAAACTTGCACTGGAAAGTAAAATTTTATATTGAATTCTCTTACACTGATTACTTCACCCACACCACATAAAGATTAATTTCCACATGCAGTATTTTTTAAGCATAAAACAATCATAAGCAACAGTGGTTAGAGTTCTTTTGTAAACAGTAAAGGTAACTGCAACTTTTCTCCACATAAGCAGTTGCTGACATTTTTCACCTGCTGGAAGTGGAATCTTGTTGTGGGCTACAACCAATCACGTATGACTATAAAACTGATGTTAGGTAAAGTGTTTATGAAGTCTAATAAGCACAAAGCAGTGCTGTGGTGGGATGCAATAAATTGTTCCATCAAAAGAGCAACGTGCAAATGCAGCTCTACTTGTGCATTCTAGTGGATGAAGAAGCAACCAATAGCTTGTTTCTCAGGTCTCAGAGTAATTCTAGAGCTAAACTGATAATCTTCAAATTTATACTCAGATAATACATGCCAAAACTCATCACAGACCTGGAGAAATTAACAAAGATATCTTCATTTTATACTTTGGATTGCAGGGTAAAAAACTATTAGTTTGTCAGCATGCATCTCACCATTAAATGGGAGCCAATAAATAAAGGTTACTATTACTGTTAATAAATCCACAACTGTACTGAAACAAATTGATACGTACATAATCATCCTTCTTTGTTCCGTACGAAGCTATATAATCCGCGTGTTTCTCTGAAAGTAACGTGCTTGGGGCATCGGGTTTTATTGTAACATCCTTCTGCGGTGTCCCCTGTAAAAAGCACCAACAACACAGCAGTTGCACTGTCAGGTCAAGACGTTTTAGCACCTTGGTATAATTTACTAAACACTGGTGACTGCGACTCTGGAAACAAACATCTCTCTGGTAATTTTGAGCCCAGGCCAGGTCACTTTTCAGCCCAGTTAAATCCCTCCCTGGGAGAGGCAGGGAACGAAACCTAGCAACGAAGCGGAGAAAAAACAGGCGGAGAACTCGCCAGGAATAACCTGAAGCACTGGACGTAGGAGCCCTTTCCCGGGCCCGGCGCCGAGCGCTCGGCCCGAGGCTGCCGCCCTTCGCCCCGCCAGGCCGGGCCCGGCGCTCCCGGCGCCGCTCTAGATCCGGAGGAGCGAGTGCGACCCGCGTCCCCCCGGGCGGCTCCGGCGCCACTCGCGTCCCTCCCTGGAGCCCTGCGGTCCCACCGGCCAGGCCGGGCCGCCCGTGCCCCCCGTACCCCACCATGTTCGCCGCCCGCGCCGGAAGGGGCGGGGGGGGCTCCGCCCGCCGCGCCTGCGCAGCCCCGGCCGCGGTCACGGCGCCGGGCCCGGGGGAGCTCAGGGAGCGCTCGCACGGCGCTGCCGGGCTCTGGAGTGCCGGAGCGCCAAAGGCCCGGTATTCCCAAGGTGACACCGTTACTGCTGGATAGTGTCTAAATCCTCAGCACAGACGCAAGGCAGGCCCGCTGCTGCTCAACTGGAAAGGCTGTTCGGCTGCTTGCTGAGCAGAGGAGAAACTGAAGTACAGCTATTAACGTACTTCAGAAATTGTATTGTGGGTAAGTTGTCCGGTGTAAGTGATATAACAAGCAAAATGAATACAAAGCAACCACAGTTCTCTTAAAAAATATTTTATTAGAATGCAGCAGTGACTGTCAGAAATAACATTCTGATTATCTTATTGTGAGAAAACTGCATTGTGAGGTTCTCATTTCTTGCCCATTTGTATAGGAACAACAAGTCATCGTGGACTTCAGCATGTTTAGAAAATACCAGCTTTGTCAGTCAAGAATAAAGTCAAGGACTGGACAGAGAGAACAGAATCAGTGCTTAATAATGGACAGAATAAAAATACATTGAAGAAAATTTGTTTTTCTCCATTCCTTTTTAATTCTATTGAGAAACACATCCTTTTCCATGAGAACACAGAACACTACAGCAGCGCCAGGCACACTTCATACATTTCTTTAAGCCTTAAATTTGCCAACATGTTCACGAGCTATGATCATCCTTTGAATTTGAGCAGTTCCCTCATATATCTGAAAAGAAGAATTGCAATAATGTTAAGTGATGATTTTTTAAAAGGTTTTAACAGATCTGTACTCGTAAATCTCCACAGCACTAATCCCAGGTGGATTAGGATGTGCAGGAAGACAAAAAGCAGGGAGAATTCCAGTGTGACAGAGCAATTACACTGGGGTAAGTGAAATATAAATCAAGAGACAGACTTGTTCTCTCAGGTGCTCTTATCTAAACTCAATAGGGCTCTCATGAAAATAAACTGACAGATGATGACATTCCTCTTATTTGAGGAAGAAAATATGTAATTTCTTTAAATTTAGGGATTATTGTTTTCATTCTAAAAGCTTTTTTTTTTTTAATATTTGTACATCATATTTGAAGTAAGTAGCCCTTAGTTTATATTATATAAAATCTATGCATTATCACATTCTCTCTTTTACTTACCTGGTAGATTTTAGCATCTCTCATTAGTTTTTCTACAGGATATTCAGTATTAAATCCATTTCCTCCAAAAATCTGTACTGCATCTGCAGCTACTTGGTTTGCAATGTCACCAGCAAATGCCTTTGCAATGGAAGCATAGTAGGTATTCCTGCGACCAGCATCAACTTCCCACGCAGCTCTCTGGTAGGCCATCCTAGCGAGTTCAACTTTCATGGCCATTTCAGCAAGCAAGAAAGACACTGCTTGGTGCTAGGACAGAATAAACCACGTTAATATCGCCCACTTAAAATTCTGGGACATCCAAGAAAGACATCATCTCCTAATACAGTGATTTTTTCAACAAACTCAGTAAGTTGTATGAGAGGAGTTCTACAGAATATGCATCAGGCTCTCAGAATTGTGTTCAATTAGATTTTTAAGATTTTGATTCTGAAATCCCCATAGTCATAGGGATTAAGTACTGAATTATGAAGTTGTTCTTTCCTATTTATGAGATTGGTATGTACCTTGCTTTTTATTTGTATTTCCTTAAAACTCGTAACCAGCACTATTGGCAATGTATTCTGTTAGTGTTAATACTATGTGTCTTGTTTCATGTACCTCATTTTTTCTTTCCTGAAAATCCCTCTTTATTAGCACTGAAGAACTTAAGTATGTCCAGCTAGTACGTAAGTTTTGATGTCTTGGGCAGAGTTGTTTTTTTTCTGCTTCTACTACCATCATTGATAAATTATAAAAAATTCTGGAAGTTACCACATAGCTAAGTTTACTTACAAGGTGCTGACCTACATACATGGAAACCCCAAAATGGCAGAGATATGATATAAAAATTAAGGAAATATAAAAATTAAGGAATAACCTTTAAAAATCAGTAGCAGTACATCTGGTGTGAAAACAAGCTTTTATTGTATTTTCTCTCTCTGCCCCCACACTTACTTCAACAATTGGTTTCCCAAACGTTTTTCTCTCCAAAGCATATCTGGTAGCCTCATCAAGGGCTCTCTTTGCTAATCCAACAGCACCAGCTGCTACCTGAATTGAATACAGCACAGAATAAAAAATCAGAAATTCCCAATGTATTTTATAACCAAGTTATTTCTGATACTTACAGGTGGTCTGGTCTTATCAAAAGCTCCCATTGCGATTTTAAAGCCAGCTCCCTCAGCTATCAACACATTTTCTTTTGGGACTCTCACATCTTCGAAGACAATACCTCTTGTATCTGAGCAGCGCTGACCCATATTCATTTCCTGAAGTGGAAATTTACAGAGGTGTTACTAAAGTGGATTATTCAAAGGTACAATATGTTTTCATTCTTTAGTTTACTCAAAGCATAGAGTATGTTTTTCTTCCCCAAAACACTTAATCTAAAAATTACCATATACATGACAAATACTAGTTTTGTACTTGCAGACCAGCATGCCCTTCATTTGTCTAATCTGGGCAGTTTACTTTCTCCTTATATGAAATCAGTTCAGTCTCTGTAACCAGTCTTCTCTAGTTTTCTCTAGTTCTTTCTCTACTTCAACTATATCCTTTGAGATGAAAGTGGAAAAAGAAAACAATGCAATGTGCAGGCAGTGCAGATATACTACAAGTAAATAAATAAATTAGCTTTTCAAGTTTTTAGATTCCTTTCCTAATGTTCAACATCCAGTTTTACCTAATATTAAAAATAGTACTCTTTTTTAAAGGGAGAACTAGTACTAGTATCTCTAAGGCCTCTTCTTTGACCAGCAGTAGCTAAAATTAAAGTTCACTGCCTGTGTATTTATGGTTGATATTGTCCAACTTGCTTCCTATCCTTTCAATGCATAATACTTCTCATTTATTGGTACTTGCCAGTATAATAGTTCTCAAAGAGTCTTTTGCAGCTGTTCAAAGTTATCTTACTTTGGACCATTCTGAACAGTTCCTTATCTGAACTAATAACTTTAAAATTATGTTTTATGAATAGCTTCTGCATGTTGTGAAAACGAAAAGATGGTTGTAAATGAGCATATGAAAATGTGCAGTTGTGTAACAGTCTTTTCTCTTGAGTGGTACGTTTGTTTCATTACTGGTTTAGAACTAAACAATAATTCCTAACTTGTCAAATAAGAAATAATCTTCACCTTTCTTCCAATTTGGATCCCAGGACTATCTGCTTCCACAATGAATCCAGTAAAGGCTTTGCCTGCAGGAGTTTTTGGATCTGGATCGGTACGTGCTAGCAAAAAATACCTAGTGTAAACCAAAGAAGATGGATGCAGTTTATCCTCACAGTTAACAACAAGATATATTTAGGTAATATTTTAAATGTTTTTATGCATGTCTATACCACATAATAAATTCTGAGTGTAAGTTAACAAACTATATTCCTTGCCCATTCTAAAAATAAACTGAGAGGGAGCCAGAGAGTGGAAGTCTCAAAGATTCAGTATTTAATAATGTTTAATAAAATTTCTTCAGATCAACATGCAAAGATTCTCTACCCTTTCCATGTATTCTAAGTCTTTATGGTATTACCAGTTTCACAAATAGTACAAAAGAAACCTATTCGCAGCATGTACATAAAAATTAATGCTTAGGAAATACATTCTTGGATGTAAAATGTTATCATCTGATTTCAGATATCTTGATTTTATTCTTCTAAGTGTAAATTGTAAATAAGTATTTATCTTAGAAATTAAACAGCTGTAAATCATATTTATGGTATTCACTAATGTCAAAAGATACCTGGTAGATTGTCTTTGATGGATCTGCCTTCAACGATGAAGTAAATTACTAGAAAATTCAGATTTTTGGATAAATGTATAAAGTTTTTTCCGCTTGAATTAAGGAAGATTTCTGTGTTGTGAATCAGTGTGATATGAGACATGAAGTAAGAGGTTTATATTGTAAAAGCATGCTCCACAAACACAACAATATTTGGAATCTCTGACAGATGAAAAATGTCTTCTTTTCATAAAATAAAAAGTAACACCACAATGTAACAGTGTTTCTAGCTTCACTAGGAGTAAGAGGTGTTTCTAGTAGAGTCAGATTTAATTTTCATAGCAGCAAGATTCAAGAGGCCATTCTTGAGTGTGGAGTTGTCATGTCATCACTCATTTTCCTTTTTAGGCTGTGTGCAACACTCAAGACTGCATTTGTATTTGCTATCCTGATAAACTGGTCAGAGATTAAAACACAGTCTGCTGCAATACAATGAACGTTCAGATTGATATCAGGTCTTTAAAGAATTTACCTGGGGGCAGAGGGTGAAGCCACTATATAACAACAAAAAACTATGACACCAGTTAATTGTTAACATACCAGTTTGCTTTCCCCCCATTTGTGATCCACATCTTCTGACCATTAATAATATACTCATCTCCTTTCTTCTCAGCCTTTGTTTTTATACCAGCCACATCAGAGCCTGCTCCAGGCTCTGTTACACAGTAGGCCTGAAAGAAATTAAAATGTGAAATAAAAGTTCTGGTTTTAGGCAATCACAAATTAATGCAGACTATGTGCATCAAATTATCTATAAAAGGTTTAAGTGAACTGCATGGTAAAACCCAAAACGTTGCATAAACAAAAACCCCCAATAAACCCCCAAAACAACCCAACACAACCCCCCCCAACAGCTGTCTGAGCAAGGATTCAAACATATAAGGGTTAATTTTCTTTATAAATCCATAATGATGCATAAAATTTAATCAAACAGAAACATTCTGTAACCCTTAAGTTATTACTTCTTCAGGCTTCAAAAATTCTGATTGGAAAGCTGAAGATCTTTAAAATCTGAAAATAAGAGCACTGAGTAACATTTTATGTTTACCAAGTCCTTAATTTTAGGAGGCTTAGTTGTACAGATTTACATACATTGTACATGACTCTTCTTTCTATGTAACGAGTACTGCTTATGTAATACTTAAGATCATAAATTCCCAGTTTCATTCCCATCCAAGTTTAGTGTCTTAAATGCCTACACCCCCTCTTGAAATGGAAATAAAAGGTAGTAATTTTTGATAAGTGACTTAGGTTGGGGTTGATTTTCCAAGTAATATCTTCTATTTGCTTATTGCATGTATCTCATTAGATATTTGCTGTCTTTCAGTAAATGTCACTGTTTACAAATCAAAAAGGGCTAAGTTGTGTGTACATGTAAGTGTTTTCTCGGGGGGGGGAAAGGCAAAAAAATGAGGGAAAAAAAAGGAAAAAAAAGAAAGAAGTAATATTATTAGGTTTAGGAACATTTTACAGTGTAGCAGTTATACTCACACACATGATTGGTTCCTCTGTCATTCTTCCTAAGTATTTTTTCTGCTGATGCTCATTTCCTGCAATGATAACTGGCATTTGCTGAAAGAAAATATTTAGACCATTAATCCAGGTTTTTCAAGTGCACAGACTGTAGTTTAAGGGATGTAAGAAAATACAGAGCTTACTCCTAGGGAGTTTGCTTCAATGGCAGTTTGAACCCCTGTACATCCATAGGCCAACTCCTCTGTAATAAGACAGGCTTCAAAAGTGCCGAGGCCAAGGCCACCTACAGGTGAAACATTTCATTTACTCAAGTAGATTTAAATTATAACATATCAATATTAGTGATTTACACAACATAATTAACAAAAATGTATCCCCCTCACATACATTTGATTGTGTACCATGTTTGATTACACATTCTAACATCAGCTTTTTAAATAAAGCTTTGTCAGAAGAGTAACAGGTGATTTGAAAATTACACATCATGGTTCCAGGGTTATTGTTTGATTAATGTGGGACAAGTTGCACAAAGTGGCAAGAATGTACCACTTTAATTTTTTTATTACTGTACACTTGAGAATTAAGAGTTCCTAGGAAGCAGAGAAAGGGCTCCTGAGCCCACAGCATTTGGGAATAAAAAATTTATAAAGTGTCCATATTAGTAGATAGCCAACTCAGTAATCTGTTTCTGACAGAAGCCAACACTATGGGAAGTACATACAAATACAGTAACAACTACACTTCCTCAAAAATATTTTCCTGAGCCTTCAGGTGACTTCCTCAGTCAAAGAAATACCTCTCTTTGGTATCTTTGTTATGCTAACCTATGACAGATATTTATTACATTAATTTGTCCAGTCTCTTTTTGAATCTATTTAAATTTTACCACCAATATCCTACAGTAAGATAGTAAGTTTTGCAAATTAATTACACACTGCATGTAGAACCAACACCTTTCATTTGTTTTGAAACTTTTATCTGATGACATAATTTGATGCCTTCTAGTTATGTTGAAAGGGACAGTCAACTATGAATCCCTTTTCACACTATCCATGCACTTGACATTTTAGTAATTTCTCCTATAGAATCTGCATCTCACAGAGAAGACACAACTTTTATAATCTTTGTCATCCTTTTAGAAACCTTTTCCATTTCCCCAATACTCTTTTGAGATGGAAGGATTCGACTATATAATGAATTAAAAAGGCAAGTGCAATTTGGATTTGGGCAGCAGCGTATTTGTGCCTTCTGCATTTTTCTTCATTCTCTTAAGGGTCCCTTTTGACTTTAAATTTTATTTTGACCACTTCTGAGCATTATACTATACATTAACTATTTATGATAAACACCAAAATGTCTTTTTTGAGAGGCAGTAACTAGTGCAGAGGATACCATTTTTCTTGCTTCTTTCCCTTCACATGTGCATCACTTTTCCTTTTTGGAATTGCATTGCCATTTTTACTGGCTCTCTATTTCAAGGTCTTCTCCTGCAGCTCTCTGTACCAGTCTCATCTTTTTTTACATTGAGTAACTTAGTATTATAAGCAAACTTAGTATTATCTGCCTTTGTGTTGATCCCCTTTTTCTGTTTATTTATAGACATCCCAGACAGCACAAGACCCAGCAAGGCTGCACTACTAATCTTTCCAATATGAAACCTGATGATTTTTAAAACTTATTTTGGAAATTCAAGTATTCTTTATCAACCAGGGATCCCTTGTTCACACACTTATTAGCTACTTCAGAGAACTCCAATGATTTTTGAGACATGACTTCCTTTAATTAAAACCCTTCTCTAGCATATCATGCTTGTCTGTGTTACTCATATGCCTAAACACTGCCAAAGCTCTGTTGTACTGCACCTAACTTAAATTGAAAAGCTGTCCTTCTGGGATAAACTCTTAAGTTGCTCCAGCCTGTGTCAGAGACTAGAACAAAACATGACCTTCTAATTTCTCTGCCTAATCAGCTGACACAGTGCACCAGGGGAACATTAGACAGCTGTAATCACGGTAGAAAAATCTGGTCATAAATTACTAAACCATAATCTGTCTAATTTGTCTCCTGATTACATCCACATCTAGTAACACTTTTATGTGTCAACCTGCCTGCTGATTAAATTTAGATTATTCAAGTATGCAACTATTTATTTGATACAGAATCCATAATTACACATATAAATCTCATCTAATGTCTTCTCGTTGTTTCATTTTACAGATTAAAAAGAATGTTTACTTACCACAGCTTTCTGGTATGTGTGAATTCATAAGACCAAGTTCCCAAGCCCTTTTTATAAGTGGCACGGGATACTGAAATAGACATGGAAAAATCACGTTCTGAGTCACCACAATCAAAACTTTAAATTTTAAAGGTTAAGATAAAAGTCTGGTTTTGTCCAGTTTTTCCCTTACACTATGGTAGATTTACCTCTCCGCTTTTGTCATATTGTGCAGCAACAGGAATAATTTCTTCCACAGCAAATTTACGAGCTGTAGCTTGAAACTCCTTCTGTTCGTCAGTAAGTTCTATTTTAAAAAAAGAGAAAGAAAAAAATTCACAAATTCTCTACTGTCTTTAATAAGAGCATCCTTCCAGGACAACCCAAACCACCACTTTTCGGGGCTGTCCAGAAAGCGAAAAAACTGTTTCCTCTTCTTCCTAGGAGAAAACCTCCATTGTTCTCTCATCCCCACCTACAATGCACTTGCTTGCATCTGATGAAATTATCCACAAAATATTGAAAATGAAGAGGACTGTGTAACATAAAATGTATTACCAAAAGAAACAAGAAAAATGCTGTGTTAATTAAATAGAGACAGAGGTCATCCAGAGATCCTGACTCTTCAGTTTCAAACACCTAGCTCTGACCTACTAAATTTGCTTTATGTATATAATATACCAAGCTGAGGATGAATTTTCTTTTTTACGTTTCTTTATAATGAAGTTCAACTATGACTATATTTAGGTACCTTTACACTGCAAACAACAACATAATTATTCAAAGCTAAGACACTTTGGCAATAAAAAAAGGACAGACAAGAATTAAAAAAAGAAGAAACTCTTAAAAACACTACACACATACCTGCCTTGCCTGAGCTGAGGACAAAAGTAATTTGGATTTTCAAACTTTTTTATTAATAGAAATCTATTTAGGATAAACATCATTTTAAGGTTCATGGTGAAGTGCAATATAGGATATTATTCTTTTAAAATCTGCAATTTGTCCATAATTGCTATATTTCTTTAACAACTGTACTACTTACCAAAGCTAAAGCCAGCTCCAGGTTTGCCTATATGTAAGTTTTGAGCAGGTTTACTAGAATGTGACCTCCATCCATGTCCTGCAATGGTTTGAAGCACTTGCTAAAGAAGAAAAGAACATAAGGTGTAAGATCTTTACAGCTCAAGTCTCCTAAAGCTACTTGCCTGCCTGCAGCACAACTTTTAATGTAGACTCCCTCTCCAGAAACAGTATCAGATCAAATATAATTTACTACAGTGATAAAAGAATTATTGGCTAGCTTGTGTTTTGCTCCTGTGACGCTCTGCCAGGATTCTCAGGCTTTAACAGCACCGAGGGCAGGTGAGCTGCCCTATACATTTTTAACTATTGTGCATTTGATTATTTTAAAATAGTTAAGCATATAGCAATATATATTTCTTTAATTTATACACTCACACATCAAACTTGATTTTCTGGCCCTCTACTGAATATCCTATCTACCCATTAGCAAAAAACACCCTACCTATTAACCAATATATCAGAATATTTTGATAATGTCCCAGACTCATCTCTGCTTTCTTTTATAAGCTGGTGCCATGGACACTTGGTGATTATTGTTATTATACTCCAGATGGGAGAGAACATAGCAGACTATCTGAATTTTATTTTCCTTCCTAATACTGATCACAAATTTATTCTTTTTCATTGTAAATACTTTCTTTGCTTTTTGAAGTTTAGTACCCACAAATATTGTTGTTACAGCTGCTTTCAGAATGTCTTAATATTGTGCAAAAACATGTCCAAACTTAATTTTAAAAGGTTGGTTTACTCTTTTCAAGAGTTATAAATCTCTGAAATGTTTAGAAATTAGTGAAAAATATGTAATTGGATAAATTTTTAGGAAGACCCAAATTAGTACTACAAAACCAAAAATTAGCCTAAACACTAAGAAAAGGCTTGTTCTTGATTTTCTTATGTGAAAATGTAGAAAATTTTTTTAAAAGTGTGATCACACCAATCACTTATTTCATAACATTTTAAAAAAATTAATTAATGATAGTAATGCAAAAGAATACCACAGAAATTTTACTAGGAACTCTACAAGACAAGGACTACAGGTTACTCTGGAAAAACTCCGCAATCCCACCAAACACTGAAATACGAATAGGTGGGATATACAGCTGAAAGTTGCATGACTGATCAAGTGACAAAGTATCAGGGTTTCCTACATGTAAGAATTTGTATGATTATCTGTCTACTTAGTCAACCTTCTTATTGCTTGACTCTGAGGAACAGTTACATTCAGTGACAAACTACTGCTAGGGATGCTTAGATGCAATTCCTGCTGCATTTCCTTGCACTTTTGCATGAACTGTCAGAATCACAAATATGATCGTCAATGTGGTAAGACTAACACTGGAATAATGTGCTGTCAGGAAAAGGGTATGACAAGACTATGCATGGAAGTGATGCAATCTTTATTACCTTAATTGCAAAAGAAGTATGGAACCTGTTTGACAATATGCACATTACAGAAAATGACAGAACAAGCTAAGGGTCACCAAATTGATCCTCCCTCACATATCTCAGAATAAAAATGAAGAGTTGCCAAGAGCAGTTTGTTGCTGGGGTAACGTGTCAGGTAATATGCGAGTTTTGAATACTTTTTATTTTCTACTTTGAAGCTGTGTGGTTCAATATAGGAGAAAGTTTGTACTTCAGAAAACCATCACACATATTTAAAAAAAAATCACACATATTTAAAAAAAATAGCATAGGTAGTACAGCTAAGTATGCTAAAGGATAAAATACCCCGAACTATAACCCCCGGTGTTTTGAAGCCGTCACCGCCGGTACGTGGAAGGTGCCAGCCATACCCAGGGCTTTTCCAAAGACTGGGCACGGCGCGGCCTTTGGCCCATGAGAAGCCCCAGGGCTGTGCAGCAACTCCGCTGAGAACAGCCGATGGCAACACCCACTCGGACCGTGAGGATTACGGCCATAAACTCTCGGATAATACTGCGAGGCAGGAAAAGCAGCACAGCAGAGGGCTCGCAGCCTCGCCGGTTCTGCCCTGCGGGGCTGCCCCTGTGCCCGCAGCTGTCCCGGCGGCGAACCCGGGCTGGCCCCGCCGCTTCCGTCCTTCCGCCTCCCTCGGCCCCGGGCCCTTCCCTGCCGCCCGGGACCCCGCCCGCCCGGCGCGCGGCAAGCGCTCGGTCCGGCCCCGGCCGCCTCTTGTCTCCGGACTCTGTGTCCTCCGAGCGCTCGCTCGGGCCGGACACTCACCCGGGTCACCCTCAGCGCAGCCATCTCGGCGGGGTTCCGGCGGCTCCGGCGGGGCGGGGCTCGGGCGGCCGGGCGGTGCCGCGCGTGGCCGCCCGCCGAGCCGGGGAGGCCGGGCCCGGGCCGGATCCCGCCCCGCTGAGCGGGGAGAGCCAGCCCTTGCTGCGGGCCGGAGAGCTCCGTCCTGCGGCCGGCCCGGCTCGGGGGCGAGGAGGGAGCGAGCGGCCCACCCGCACCAACACGGGCAGGGTCTGTGTTTCACTTTCTGAGGCCGAAAGGAAGGCGGCCCCAGGCTCGGCCGCTTTGCTGTCTGTGTGCCGAGTCTCGCGGGCTGGCTCCAAGCACCTACATCATCTACCTGTTAGCAGAAGAGCTCCTGTGAGCTGTTTTACTGTAATTTGCGCCTCAGGGAATCATAAACTCACGTTTTGGAGGTGTATCAGGAATAGGGTGACTGATAACCCCAGCTGACTGATAAGGATGTTATACACTAAGCATATTTACTAGCTGCAGGAAGTGATTTAAATACTACAGTGCTCAGAAATTAGATATTATTTCTAGATGCCTTTGAGATTACGATCCACAGCCCTTCAGTAGGTAAATAAGCTCTTTTTTACACTGAGATGAAGAGACAGCTTGGAATGGAGTTGAGGACATCCCTAAGGCAGGGAGACTGAATAAATCAGTATGCTGAGGGAATGGTGACATCAGGAAGTAATGAAATACTGTTGGGTTTATAGAGTGAAATGGTTGTATAGACCTGATAAACATTTTAAAGGGTTTTATTTCAGGCTTGACAGAGTGCCCCCATTAAGTGGTTGGAACACATTGGATGCACTCCTCCTAGATCATGTCTTCCAGTAAATTTAATCCAAAAATCAATTCATGTTCTTTGAAATATCTCTGTGAATCCAGTGAGGCACACTAAGTGGGGACAATTGGGAAACTCACCTCAGAACTACACTCCTGACCTGAACTGAACTGCTCATGTAGACAGTCTGGGAAGGTTGTTGTCTGAAACTGTCCAGTTGAGGAAATTGAGTCAGGAATACACGGTAACATTTGCTGTTTTCAAGGTTTACCTTACACTAGAAGCATCTTTGCATATGAAATTTGCTACTTGCCTCTGAAGACAGATGTCTGTACTTTCTGGAAGCAAGCTTTCGTATTAAAAAGCCACTTAACTATCTGTGATCTCTTGCAGTGTTGTAGAGATTAAAGAGTGGAAGTTCCAGAAAAAGGAAGGAAAGAATGCATGGAGCCAAGACAAAGGTATTCAGGGACATCTCTGCTAAATTACAGGAGCATCTGGGGTAAGGTACAAGAACCAACTGCTCATTAAGGTCACTGTTTAACGCAGCTTGCACTTATGAAGCTACACCCTTGCTCACCTTCCCCCACTCCTTCAAACTATTTTCTCACTGCCTCTCTTTACATCTCCTTGGATAAATGAATGAGAACTTTTTTGGCAATGTGTTGTCAACATAATTTTCACCAAGCCAGTCTGGAGAGGAAAATTCAAAGGCCAGGTGGTCCATGTCTACTAAGATTTTAGGAACAGAGGAGTATGAAAGATGGCAAGGTTATCTGTCAAAGCCTAAACCAGTTGAACTGTGAGGTTCAAAATTATTTACATAAGGAGCGACAATAGATAGAAGTTTCTGTAAGGTGTATTTAGAATTTTTGGCATTTTTCACAGCAGCAAGAAATAGAGCATCTGTCTTTCTTTTTTATTTTCTCAAACACTTACCACTGTGTCACATTTCTTATTTAGTATTTCTCTGATCACTTTTACTACAGTAAAAATTGTATACTGCATAGTTTATTGCTTTATTAACCTAGAAGACTCTCTTATATACTAACCAGCAGAATGCATGTTGCTTATTGCTGATGTGTATAAATCAGCAAGTAAACACAGTAAGATTATTACATTACAAAGTGCATCTCATTGTCATGGTTTAGGAATGCTACTCTCCCACCGAAACCATGCACCACTCCCTCCTCTCCCTTCCCCTTCCCCTGTGGATGGATAGGAGAATTGGAGGCACAAAAGGTAAAGATCGTGGACTGAGATAAGAACAATTTACTGGAAACAGCAATGACATAAGAAAACAAACAGCAACAATATTAATGACAAAAGTGTACAAGAAGGAGGAGAGTGATTCACATGTATGTGCTCACCAAAGAGCCTGACCTGATCCAGCCACACCATCCCAACCAGAAGAAACCCCTGAACCTCATTTCCCCCTTCCCCCCACCCCAGCGGTCATGGCCCTCTTGGCTACTGCAAACATTAACACTGTTCTGGCTGGAACCAGAAGGCTCATCCCTTAAAGTTAGCATCTGTATTCTAGGGTGAAGTGTTATGTTTTATTACTAATTATGACTGGTTTACAGGTTGGTTTTTTTAAATTGCTACCAACGAACAGTAATTTACCATTTGTTAATGAACCTTCCTTTTAGAAATGAAAAGCAACTTGAATTTTCTGTGGTGCTCTAGAGTGTGGAGGGCCTGTGGGGTGATGCAGCAAGCATCAAGCTGGACCAGCCAGGAAGTCAGCACTCCTGAGGCAGGGAAGAGGCTGGGATCTGGGCAGGTGTGCTGGGCAACTGTGCATGTGCTTGGGCATCCAAGGAGTCTCGTGCATGTGCCTGCACTAGTCACCTTTTTCTCTGCCAGCACAAGAGGAGGAGAGGATGTGGCTGCCTGTGCTCTGTGCTGGAGCTGAGGGTGGGTCTGTGTGGAGGTGCTGTTGTAGGTGCCTTGTCACTGGCACTGCACGTGCCTGAGTCAGTGTCCCCTGTGTGTGTCTCTAGGACATGTGCTCAGCTGCACGACTGGCTGGGTCTGCACATGGGAAGGTGGCAGCCCTGTCCCCTGCCTGGGCAGGGACCCTGTATCCCCAGCTCCAGCATCCCTGGGCTCCAGCAGCTGGGCAGGAGGGGTCCTGGAGCTGCAAGAAGTGACAGACCCTCCTAACACCCTCTGACATTTTTTAGCCATAAAAGGACTTTTTGTTTTCCCTCTAAGGTGGCTTATTTTATTCAAAACTTTTTGATGAGGAACCTTCTGGAATGTTTTCAGAAATCCAAATAACCTGAAGATCAGCTGTATTCCCTCATTTTTGTGTCTGCCAACTCCTTGGGAGGTCTCCAATGGATCTGCAGTGTTCTGGATTTTCATCAGAAGTATTTTCAAAAATGTTGAAAATGTTTATCACCTTCAAGTCTATATATACATACGAGGCTTAAAGAAAATACTGGCTCTACATATTCTCTTCCTCCTCTTGGCCTTTAAAAAAAAAGAATTCTTTTTAGCATCTACACTTTTTGCAAATTAATGCTTAAACTCTTTTTTGGTCTGCCTTCCTGTACTTTCACACTTAACCTGCCAAAGTTTGTGATCCTTTATAATTTACTAGTTTGAACACAACTTTAATCTATCAAAATATTCTTCCTTGTTTGTAGCTACTGTCCTTTTCATTCTATATAGTCATGCTGACTTCCTTTTGCCATTTCTCAGACCCTTCTGAGAAACATGAATATACAAAGATGATGGGCTGTCTCTCAAAGTGGTCTCCTTACATAACCTTCTATGTATCTGAATAACTGTTTTGTAGTTTTTAGCACTAGTCTAACCTTCTGTATTCTTTTTAGCAAGTTTTCTATTTTAGTTTAGTGGATTTTTAAGTTATTCCTTGGTTCTGGTAGTTAGAACCAAGTCAAAAGTTACTTCTCCTGCAGAATTCTACATTAACTTCTTATTGTTAATAATAATTTTATATTGTTCTATAAAGCCTAATGAAAAGAAAGAAAGAAAAAAAAACTTTGCTAGAGTGCATATGAGTATTTTTTTGTTGCCAGAACTTGGAAGTGCTGTGTAAGCAAAACCTTATCTCTGGTTGTTAGTCATAGCCCTACATCTCTCTGTCTCTCTCTCTATCATCTGTCTATCTATCTATCTATTTCAATCTATCTTCTGTTAAATACAACATATGCTTTAGGATAGAGAGCATATATGTTAAATATAACATATGTTAAATACAATATATAATAAATAATATAAATACTATAATATATAGACTGTATAATATATGCACAATAATATAGACACAATTAAGTCATTGTATATGCTGTGTATTACATATAATGTATATGTTGTATATCTAGTATGTGATATCTCTGATATCTGATATATTTATTTGTAGAACAGGTTATACTAACTCTATTACCTATGTTTTTTTTACTGTTGAGATTCCAATGTTTGTTCTTGAACATAGGCTGTGTATAGATACATCCCTCTGCACAAGGGGAACAGAAGAACATGGAGCTGTAGAACAATACCGAAGCTTCCCTGAGAATGCTACATCAGCTCTGACTAGCAACTCTGGTCATGCCCTGCTGCCTTTAGGTTGCTATGCCTTATCTGAACGAGCCAGAAGGCATTAACAAACCTCCTTCCTTCTTACAAAGCTGTCCTATGCTGCTTTTCTCATGTTTGACTCAGTCTTAGACACAAGAAGTTCTTTCTTCTATAGGTGAGATTGTCTGAATTGTTCTCCTCATCATCATCACTGAGATGAAATTAGGATTTCTTCTTAGATAGTGAAGTGTGTCCTCCATTTTCTACAAGGTGGAAACACACATCTTAGGTAGCTAGGCTAAGTATGTGGCTTAAGAGGATAGGGGGACTAGGTTAAGAAAGAACTCTCATTAAATTTGCAAACCACCAGCAGTGCACAGAATCATAAATCTCTGCCCAGGTAATATTCTGATGAAGTGGGATGACTGGATGAAGCAAGTACTCATTTTAAAATATATAAAAAAATTCTATTTCAAAGTATAAACTCTCACAATTTAAGGAGGAGGAGGAGGGGGAAGAAGAGTACTTCCTTTACTAGCAGATGAAATGCAGATGTGAAATTCAGTAATTATTAGAGCAATTGGCCTGGACTGAGACCTCTGGAAGGATGGATAAAGTGCTACATATGCCTGATTTAGTTTTCTTGTAACTAGCCAAGGCAGTGAGCACTGCAAGACCTGATGATATACTGACTTTGTAGGAGGCACATACCCTCACCAACGCATATATGATTGGTTTATGTTTCGATACAAGCATAGCAGCAACCTCCATGGTCTGTGCACATTAATTTACTCATAAATAAAAGAATCATGTGCTTTTGAGGGTCTTAAGCCAACTTTTGAAAGGGTACCTTTATTTGCAAGCCTTGGAAAGTAACTTCTCAAACTGCTCATATCTGAAAATGTAAATGATGGCCTAGAGGTGCACCTCTGTCATTTCAGAATACTGTTATGTGTAATAATACAATATGTTACAATATGTTACAATAAAATACAAAATGTTACCTGTGTTTTACTTAGTGACAACAGACTAATGGCAACGTGACATCTGAATACAGTGTCCTTTGCTGTAGTAATGATTTGTGCTGTCAAAACTGTGAAGGAAACTCAGCAATCAGACTAATTGCTCCTAAGTGGCTATTACCCCACTCAGATAAAACAAAGGGAGGTGGATGTCAACTGAAGGAAAGTTTACGACCAGAAATCTGTATTTGACAGGACCGAAACTGTTTTCTGACTGAGTCATGAAAATGCCCCCAGCCCGAAACAACACGTTTCCCCCCGTCGGGAGGCAGACGCGCGGCTGTCGGTGGTCACACCCGAGCGCTTCGCCCTTCCCCAGCCCCGGGGGCCCGTGCAACTGGTCGCCCGGGCACGAGGCCGCTGAGCGCCCGGCGCTCAGCACGGGCGGCACGGACAGCTCC